GGACTGCTGGTTCTTGGGTGCTCAATGGTGCACCCTTGGCTCAAGGCAACCCACTTCCTCTTTTATCCCAGGAGGCTGAAGCTGCTCGTAGTTTTACGCAGGTAACTCATAGTTCCTGACAGCACAGACCTAGGGATCTGGAGAGCCAGGTTCTAGTCCAGGCTCTGCCACTCACTCACTCTGGGACCCTGGGCAGGCAGCATCACTGTGCTGTCTGTAATGGATGATTGCTTTAGAGTCCAAATATTAAGGTCCTACCATGTGCAGTCATGCTAGTAGGCAATGAGGATGACTCAAGGAAGGAGTGAGGCATGCCTCCTGCTCTCAAGGAGACTTGAGTAGGGAAAGAACTCACCAGCCAGAGTCCACAGACCCAGTTTCCAGGAGGCACCTTCCCATCAACACCCAGCCTACAAGTCCTGTTTTCGTCCAGTCCCCTGCTCCCACCCCAGGTGTTTCTGAGGGGCTCAGGAATGTGTCCATCCTGACTAAATTACAGTTTATCACCTCGGTTGGGCATGTCCACCCCCTTATCACCATCCCCCTTCATTGTCCAGCCTGCTGGAGCTCTCCTCCTCCATCCAAGTGTGGACACAGATTCTTCCCGTATATCTTTGTGGCCACAGACGCTTAGGGGTAACATCAGGCCTGCAGTGTAAAGGAAGAAAAATTTTAAACAGATCCCAGAACTCACATCTCCTGGAGTCCACCGGCCATGCCCTTCACAGGGGCCCTGTTGGCTCCCTTTCTCCTTAGGTGTCCGTCTCAGACAGTCATGCTTGGCAGGGCCAGGCAGCTCCTCCAGGAGTGAGAGGATGGCTTCCATCGTCTTCCTCTAACCAGAGTCAGTTCAAGGCCATGTGCTTCCTCTCAGCCCCAAGAAGGAAGGAAACCCAGTCCCCCTGACTGGTTCCCCGAACAAGATGGACCTCCCTGCCTGGCAGAGACATCCTGGAAGGTCAGCACATGGTGTCCGAGCGTGTTGCAGCCTCAAATCTCCATCCCAGAGCAGGCTTGGGGCTCCACTTTGCATGACCACAAGGACACTGAAATGTCCTTCCCGCCCCCAAACAAACAGACACACAGTCTTTTCCCAGGGACATGGTTGGCCTCCACCTCTAGATAAGGAGAAAACTGTGGGCAACTTGAAAATCACAGTTTTCCTCATTTTTAGCCATTTAAGCTTTCAGAAAAATAAATATCAGTATAAGTTCAGCCCCAGAGCACCCGGTTAGCAAACATAAAAGAAGACACAGAGTATCATGAAGGAGCGTCTCAGGTCGAATTCCCTGGAAACAGACTCTCAGAGGAGCTGCCTGCAGAGGTGTCCTGGGAGGGGTTATGGAGAGGTGGACCTAAGGAAGCAGGGCCTGGGCAGAAGTGGGTCCACCACGCAGGTGCAGCTCAGGCCCCAGACGGTCCTGCAGGAGCTCTGAAGCCAGAGTGCGCCCAAACCCAGGGAAGTGGGCTGGACCTGGTCTCCCAGCTTCAGCCAGTCACACTGGCTACAGGCTCCCCTGAGGCCTGTAACCTTGAACAAGTCTATTCTCTTGTGGCCAGAGGCAGTTGCCATGGAGGGCTGCAGCTGCAAGCAGCTGGGGGATGAATGCTGTCATCCTGAAGAGGGAATCTGGGCGGAATAGCCTAGCCTCCACTGCAGGGAGGCTCTAAGGAAGGGCTGAGAGTTACAGAGGAAGGAGACGTCTGCTCCAGGAAGGCTTCCTGGAGGCGCAGCATGCAAGCGGTCTTGGGAGGACTGGTAGGATTTGGAGGAAGGCCCGCCTCACAAACAATACAGGACCAGGGTCTGAGCTCGCCAGATAGCCCGCCGTGCTGTGCAGGGTGCGCACAGTTCCTTCTGTCTCTGGAAAGCAGGAGGCCTGGCCTCAGTAAATGCTGGGAGGCCTGCAGCTCTAACAGGGTTTGACCTCGTGATCTCCCATCCGTCAGAAAAATGCGCGGGGAAGTAAAAATAATGGAGAGGTTAATTAATGGTGCCTGCAGACTTCTTTTTAACCTCCTCCACTTCACTATGTCAATAATAACTCGAGAGTAGACTTTCCCCAGGATATTCCAAAGCGTGACTAATTGCAATAACACTGAACACATTTCCCCCACTCCCCTTCCCCTCCAATTTGGAAAAATGATGTTGCCCTTTTCCAGATATCTGATGCAAGATGGGTGAGTGCGTCTGAGCCTGTTCACATAGTAAACGCTCACGTGCTCAGACCTGGGTGCCTTCAGCCAACCCTAGGCGCTCCTTTAGAAACCAGGCCCAGCAGTAGGCCGGCACTTTGGCGCCCTGCTGGGGGTGAGGGCAGAGACCTGCAGAGCCCCCTACCTCTGTTTATAAAAGTGCTTGTTGAGAATTAACCTAGAATCATATATGCAAGTTTTCTTTTTCTGAGAGTAAATTTTGCCTCTAAGACATTCACATTGTTTTTTTTCCAAAGGTCACATAAGTACATTTATTGGTTCATTTTTAATTTAACTCCTGTGACAAGAGGCTCTTGGGCTGTGTTATGAGTCCAGTGAGGACCAGGCAGTTTATGTGGCCTGCTGGGAAGTGATGCATGTCTGGAACACATCAGGGACACAGATGACTTGCAGGCTGGGCTTACCACATGCTTGTCAGCCCAAAGCACCGAAGAAGGAAGTCTGCCATGCATTTATTGTGTGCCCCGAGCAAGGTACTTGTGGGAGATTACCACAGTGGCAATCCGTTACCTAACTTCCTCTCCCTGCCCCTGTAGATCGCCCCCTCCCATGCTGGCTCTGGGCTGGCCTTAACTCTTGCTTTGGCTACTGGGACATTAGCAAACAAGCCTGTGAATGCGGAAAAAGTGCCTGCACTCTGGGACTGCTCCCTTTCTGCCTCTGGAACTAGGATGTCCACATGTAAACAAAGCCTGGCTAGGGTGCTGGGTGAGGAGACTCATGGGCCAGGCACCCCTATTGCCAGCCGATGGCCAGCCAACCATCACGCAGTGGGTGAGGCCACTGCAGACTGGCCGGCCCCCAACTGACCTCCCAGCTGCCCATGGATGCGTGGCTGTTCCAGCTGAGATCAGCTCAAAAGTGTCCATCTAGCCCAGCCCAGGCTGCTGCAGCATTGTGAGCTAGAACATGGCGGCGCCCAGACGCTAAGTCTGGGAGGGCTTGGTCAGAGCAAGAGCTGATTGATTCAGTCTCAGGCCTCAGTGTCTTCATCTATAAAACAGAGAGAAATTACCTACTTTATCGGGTTTCATGAAGCTGAAACAAGTCCCAACCCACAGTGGTGCTCAGAATTTGTTTGCTCCATCCTTTTCTGCAAAAGATGAGATGTTGTGAATTGGCCCCAGTTCTACACCCCTCTCCCACCACATCCCTGCCACGGCCCTTTTGGGAGAGAGTTGACTTTGGGCCTGGTTCTGTGACTTGCTCTGGTCAATGACATGTGTGCAGAAGTGGCAATGACTGGCTTTGAGCCTAGACCCTGGGAGACCTGGAGGGTGTTCCCACTAGCCCTCTAGCGCCTGCCATTGTCATCAGAAGAGCAGCCTCTGGATAGGCCCCTGGCTGCAGGAGGAGGAGGGGAGTTGTGTCCTTGCAGAACTACCTCCGAAATGCCCCCAACCAGGGCAGTCTGAAGCAGAGCTCAGCCGGGACCAGTTGACACCAGCTCACCTGCATGTCAGTGAGGATGAATCGTTGCTGTCCTAAGCCACCGAGGCTTGGGGTAGTTTGTTACACGTCATTATTGCGGCAATGGCTAACTGATGCAGGTAGCATCCAAACTCATTGGCCACATTTGAAAGTCTTTGTTCTGGACCATACTCTGGAGCATTTGGAATCAAGGCCAAAAGAGAGAACGTATAGCAGGGGCTGGCTCTTAACTCCTGCCATCTATTTGTTACCCATGAAAATGCCCATTGACCTCTGCAGACCACTCTGTTGGCAGCAGCAGAACTGAGAATGACAAGCCTTCCTACAACCAACGGACAATGTCCCGCGTGTCAGGGACAGTGTAAATACTCTGCGTGCACCAGCCCTCCTAACCCTCAAAACAGCACTTGGGGGCAGTTGTACCCGCTCCCCAAGTCAGGACATTGAAGCAGGTGAGACTGAGAAACACAGCCAAGGGCAGGAGAGCTGAGAGTTGAAATCCAAGCCCCAGCCTCAGCAGTGTCTCCCACCCGACCACAGCTCAGCTGCCTAATTCCGCCTGGGGAGCCCCCAGTCTCCTGGGTTTTAGCCGCTGCCAGACTCAGCCAGTGCTTTGTGCCTATTGAAGAGGCCAGCAGCACTGTTGCCTTGAAATATAATGTTTTGGTTTATAAACTCAAGAATGTCTTTGTGTGGGAAAACACTTCTTTATGCCCAGATTCTGCATTCATAATGGGTGTTCCACAAATGAGGTTTTTTTCCCTCTTTTTTTCTTTTTGAGAAACCTCTCTTGCGAGTGTGCAGCCAAGTACTCGTTTCTGTGAGCACACTGCATTTTCACACCTGAGTTGGCTGCAACGTCAAAAGGAGCAGGTATTGTCAGGCCGAGAGAAGCCACCACAGCAGCCTACTGAGATACAGAAAGTTCCTGTGACAGAATAGTCAACTTGGAGCCCTGGGCCTCCTCTCACACTTTTCTCTTGCGCAGATGATGCTACCAGGAGGGGACTGTATCATTTATTCTCCAAATTGGCACACCTGTAAGAGTGAAAAGGGGCTGGGAAAGCAGGTGGAACCTGGGACTTTTCTGGAAGACCAGGGTGTGCGGTTGCCCCATCCTGCCAAGGAACCTCAGTGACGGTGCTCAGAAATAATGACAGCTCACCTTGTAAAGGACTTTGTGGTTTACAGTGCCGCTCCACTTGCTCTGAGAAGCATTATCAGAGTGTTATTTTACAGATGAGAAACCTGAGACCCTGGAGTTTTAAATCCATATGAAAAAGGATGCACTCAGCAAAGTGGGGACTTGAGTCTAGATTCTCTAATTCCAGATTGGACTCTTTCTTCTACAGGGTTTTGGTGGCTCCTTGAAATGGTTTTCCATGGCCAGTACGTAGCAGTCGCTTGATAAATAAGGTACGTAGAAGTCGCTTGATAAATATTTGTTGAGTGAATGAACGAACATAACAGCCAAAAAATAACAAGTAAACACAACAATGTTGTGTCTTGTGATGTTGTGAAGGGCTCAGAGGTAATTTTGTAACATTAAAAAATAGCTCTGTTTCCTTGGAACTTCTCTGAAATCTCCTAATAACTTAATTGCTCCTTAATAAGAAAAGATTCCGCCAATATCCCCTTCTTCTGCTCTGGGGTTGCTGGAAACGCGGACTTTGTTCTTTCCGGCGTGGGAGGATTTGGTTGAGCTCTGTAATCAGCAAAGTGGGAACGATGCCTTTTTTCCTGTGTTCGCTGCCTCCCCTCCCCTCCTCCAGCTATCCGTTCCTCCTTTTGAATTTTGAGATGCTCTTTCATTTGTGATCCTCGCCTTCTCCCCGGTGTCAAAGGGGTGCTGCTACGTTTTATAAAGGCTTTGAAAAGCTTCCTCTTTCCCTCCAAAGTTTCCACTGAGGCTGTGTTTGCTGTAAACACTTATGAAATTAGTTAAGTGGTATAATTCCCCAAGCACTTCTCTCTAACATTAGCCTTCATTTTTCTGGAGAAAAATGCTTTAATTCCTAAGGACTGGAGACAGCGGGGAGGGGGGCGATAACGCTCTGTCCTACTAAAATATTTTGGCCACGGCATCCACGAATACAACTTTGAATGATTTTTTAAACAGTAATGTTTTCTAGAAATAAACTCAAGCCAGGAAGGAAAGAGAGCTCTGATCTCTTCACACTCAGCCCTCAGGGCTTCCGTGGCGACTTTCTCATTCGTAGTCTCTGGCAGTTTACCAGATATCTCAGAGACATGCTTTGATCTTCAGGAAGACCTTCTTCTGTCTTCTTGGATTAACCCCTGCCCACCCTCGGCACAGTACGATGAAGTCCTTAGCAGAGGACCTGAGGGCACAGGTAGGATCCCTCTTAGCAGTGGACCAGGGGGCCCACGGGATCCGGGAGCCCGTGTTTGGGATCAGCCCATGCGCATGGCATCAGCCTCCACCATCCAGCCAGAGGGTGTGATTGGAGGACACGCACAGGCTGCTTGCTCTAGGACTGCTGAGTGGGGCTGTCAGCATTTGTCAGTTAAACACAAGACTCTGAAATAGATAGAAACAAGGGGTCCCCAACTCCAGGACTTTCTTGTTCCCACAAAGTGTAGCTTCCTGCCAGAAGGGACTATTGTGGGCTCCCAGGTCCTCCCAGACCCCCAGCCTCCTGGACTTTGCCTCTGCTGGCCCAGCCTCCTGTAGGGGCCTGTCTGCCGGCTCCTGGAGTCGTTTTCTCCCGAGCTCAGCTTTGAGACGTTTTAAGTTCTAGAGAAACAGAACCAATAGGATAGCTAGATACAGATACAGATACAGATACAGACATGAGGAAATTTATCACAGAAATGGGCTCACGTGATTATGGAGACTGAGAAGTCCCACAGTTTGCTGTTTGCAAGTCAGAGAATCAGGACAGCTGGTGGTATAACTCAGTCTGAGTTCAAAGGCCTGACAACCAGGGGAGCTGACAGTGTAAGTTCTGCTCCAGGTCTGACGGCCCAAGAACCAGGGCCACCGATGTGCGAGGGCAGGAGAAAGGGGGATGTCCCAGCTCATGCAGAGGGACTTTGCCCTTCCTCCACCTCTTTGTTTTATTTGGGTCCTGAACGGATTGGATGATGCCCACCAGCACTAGGGGGCGAGGCAGGCGCTCTTCTTATTCAGTCTGCCAATTCAGACACGAGCCTCTTCTGGAGACAGCCTCACAGACGCCCAGAAATCGTGTTTCACCAGCTATCGGGGCTCCCTTAGCCCAGCCAAGTGGACACGTAAAATAAGCCATCACAAGTGTAACTTGTGCTCCATAAATCCCTGCGGGATCAGGCTGGCACTGGGGTTGTTCCCAGAATTGCCCCACTCCCGCCTGGGTCGCCAGGAGCGCTCCTTTCATAAATCATTCACCCTAATTCTTGTCCTGGAGGAACCTAACCCATGACTCCAGTTTGCAAGGAAAGTGCACGTTTGCAGGAAGTGAGTGTTTCAGCAGGAATCTCTTGGGAAGGAGACCGTTCTGTGTGCCCACCAGAGTGTTTGCTCGGGGAACTCTGAATTAAGAATTTCCCCATCAGCACGCATGCCTGACAGACTATCAGCCTCTTAGACGACGGTCAGTAGCATCAGGTTTGTACTGCGCCTTACACATCTGCACGTACCTCACGCCTGAGTCCGCTTGTTCATTCATTCAGTCGACCACGCATCCACTGAGGGCAGAGGACTACAAACGCCTGGACCTGTGGCAGGGGTAGGGGCACGGATGGGGCTAAGATCCCCTCCCAGGACTCCAGGGGTGCACTGTGGGGGAGATAGACATGTAGACAGCGTGACTTGCGGGAGAAGGAAGGTGAGCCCAGCACCGTCCTGTCTCCCCCACGTCATTGCTCCCCAAGGCAGGGACCACGTCTTGCTCAACTTTGCATCCACCTGCCCAGCACAGGGCCCACACACAGCAGGAGCCAGCAAAGGAGGGGCTCCTCTCCTGGACCACGTGGGGCTGGGGTGGATGAGGGTGGTCAGAAAGGCTTCCTGGAGAAGTGATGCTGAGCTGAGTTGGCGATGGCTGGGTGAAGACGGGCGAGCAGAGACGTTCTCAGAGGAAGCAGCATGTTGTCAGACAAAGGTTCAGCTGTCTTAAGAAATTCGAGTGGCGGGGCACTTCTGAATCCCAGGGGCATGGGAGGGAGCAGCGAGGACCTGACCAAGCATGTGGAGCCTCTGGGTTGCAGACTGGAGTGGGGAGAAGTGGGAAAATAGAAACCATTCAGCAGGTTGGGGGCAGGAGAGTATAAGAAACACTTTCCAGAATCAGCGCTTAAAATGAAAGTGCCATGTTTTTAGAAAGCTTGACCTCCCAGATGCTGAAGTGCTTAGAACTGGGGTGTTTGCATCTCCAGAGGTGTAACTGTGAGCTCCTTTGAAAAGGCACCTACCATGTGTTTAGGCGGTGAAGATGCCAGGCCAGTGGGAACCAGGAAGCCGGGGGTCTGGTCCCTCAGTGTGATCTTAGGCAAATCATACGACCTCTCTAGCTTCAGATAAGTGAGCTTGAAGTTCACTTCTGGCTCTAAGGATCCAGTTCAAACCCCTCAATTCTCAGGGAGGAAATAGCAGAGGGACCAGATGATGGTTTGGGGCCACACCAATGGCCGGGCCGGTAGGTGGCAGAGCCAGAGCTCACAATAGTCCCTTCTGGCAGGAAAAGTCTGCAGCGTACCTGAAACTTCTGGGGGCACATCTGCCTAGACCATGAGGTAGAGCCTTCCTCCTGAGATGCCTGACCGCCTTGAACATTTTAACTTCTGCAAAAGAGAATGTCAGCAGAAAGACCTGAAGACTTTTGAGGAAACCAAATGAGGTGATGCAGGTCATATACTTTAAAACAAAGTGCCATGGCAACGGAAGATTTTATTAATAGAGCAATGGTAATCATACAACAATTTGTGAGCTTAAAGTGCCAGATCTCCCGGCTTGGTCTTATAGCTTATTTATACACACACACACACACACACACACAGAGTACACTGTGTTACTTCTGTGGCATATTTAGTATCAAAAAGGATACATTCCTTAAAAGAATCCCATTCTAAAAATATCCAGGTACCGGCCTTTCAGAAAGGTCTGCTAATACCTAGGCTCATTGACTATTAAGGTAAATGAAGGCGCAGGGGAATTCACGAGCCAGCATTCTTGAATCTGAGCCCGGAAAGTATGAAGAACAACAGGACAAGGCAGCAGGAGCGAGCTGACGGCAGCTGTCGGGAGCGGCAGTGAGTACCGAGCACAAGGCGTAGAAGGAACAGGCGAAATTACAAGTCACCCAGCAGAGGAAAGGCTTCGTTACAGCCGAAATGTGATGAGCTTTGACTTGACTTTATTACATTCGGGAGCTAGGAAAATGTCTTCCGTTGGGTTGGAAACCGAGTGAGTCTTAGGGAAATTTACAAAACTTATTCCTAGTTACACAAGTAGTTTAAACATCACCCAGCATCTCTACTCAAAAAAGAGAAAAGAAGGGAGGAGGGTGCAGCTCAGTGGTAGAGTGCCTGCCCAGCACACACAAGGTCCTGGGTTCAAGCCCCAGTACCTCCATTTAAAAATAAATAAACTTAATTACTACCCCCCCCCTTAAAAAAAGAGAAAGAATTCTGATCTGTCTACGCAGTCCTGGGGATCTCACCACAGCGCCTTTACGCACACAGAATCCTTGCCTGCCTTCCCCACACGGACACGCCAGAAAAAGTCTGGGGGCACCAGTTCACCTGGTCTTGTCTCTACTCGCACTGGGGAGATTTGCTGGTCCACAGGCATGTGCAGTAGAAACAGGATATCCTTGTGTGATGCTCCCAGCCTGTCACCTGCCACAACTCTGCCACCTACCCCAGGTCCCGGCTCCCCTTCTCTTCCTCTTCTGTCCTTCCGGAACGTCCTGCCTTCCCCTGCCCTGCACTCCCAGACTTCCAAGACAGGATAGAGACACACAGGCTGGAGTGGTGAGAGAGAACTTTCCTCTTCCCAGAGACTTAAGAGCCACATGGGTTGAGACTTCTGGGACACCTGGAAGCAGAATTTTGAGAGTGAAGTGTTTACAGTCTGAGAGCCCCATGCAGGGACTGTGTGAGAACTGAGAAAAAAAGGAAGGAAGAATCAAGGGGTTTCAGAAGTGTTTCTAGATACTACAGTTTGGATTTCCTCTGGTGTTCCTCCGCAGGGATTGGAGTTGTTTGTACTCGTCTGTGGTTGCCTGAGAGTTTCTGACATGACACTGCCTGAGAGTGGACCACGCAGGGCCTCAGGATTTACTCAGGGTATACTCCGTTATCTCGGAAAAGCTGGAGCAACTTCCAGGGCTTCTGAGGCCGTTTTGCTGCCCAGCAGGTGAGGAGCGGTATACTAGTTCAGAAATACTTGAACGATATGAGTTGAGTTATAGGA